TTATAGTCATTGTAGCAACTACTCACCTCCCTTATTGTAATGTACATAGGCATAGCTATGTTCCAATAAAGTTTGCAAATAGCAACAAGCCACTTTGGAATACCAACCACAGTTACCAACCCCTGGTCTAACTGGTCTCCCTGCTACCATTTTTGATCCACTGTTACCTTATCTCAACAAAGCAGCCAGAGAAATCCTTAACAGGCCTAATCATGTCACTTCTTCACTCAACACTGCAACAACTCCCCTCTTGGTCAGAATAAAAGAGTTCTGGCAGGCGCCGAGGCTCACTAGGCTAATCCTCCGCCTGCAGCGCCGGCACCCCTGGTTCTAGTCCCAGTTGAGGTGCTGGATTCTGTCCCGGTTGCTCCTCTTCCAGTCCAGCTCTCTGCTGTGGCCTGGGAGGGCAGTGGAGGATGGCCCAAATGCTTGGGCCTTGCACCCGTATGGGAGACCAGGAGAAGCACCTGGCTCCTGGCTTCAGATTAGAGTGGTACGCCGGCTGCAGCGTGCTGGCCATAGCGGCTATTTAGGGGGTGAACCAACGGAAAAGGAAGACCTTTCTCTCTGTCTCTCTCTCTGTCAAACTCTGCCTGTCAAAAAAAAAAAAAATGTGGGGAGCAATTCAGACTAGACTAGGTTACTGGAATTAAGACTTATTCTATGCATCTGCTCTCCCACAATAGGGCGCTGGGAGAGAAGTAAACAGCTTCCACACAGCTGCCTCCAGTTCAACCAATAAACTGTAGGACTTGCTACTGATTGGAGGAGAGCAGCGTACTCAGCGTGTGGGCAGCTGAGTTAGGATTGGCGGAGGAGGACTATAAAGGAGGAGAGAGACGGCATGCACCAGGAACATCTAAGAGGAACATCTAAGGGGAACATCTAGCTGAAGGAACACCTGTGCAGCCCCCGAGAAAGCCGGCCGGCGGTGTGCCGCTCCCCTGCGGAAGTGGGGAATGTGGCCAGGGGGAACTGCCCTTCCACGGAGGTGGAAGGGACAGTAGCCAACCCGGGAAGAACCAGCAGCAAACCCGGGGAGGGCCGAGCAGACGAAAGAACAGTGCAGGGTCCTGTGTCGTTCCTCCACGAAGAGGGGGAGCGACATAATGGTGCCGTGACTCGGATATGAAGCCTAGGCAGGGTTTAGTGTCGTTCCTCCACAAAGAGGGGGAGTGACATAATGGTGCCGTGACTCGGATATGAAGCCTAGGCAGGGTCCTGTGTCGTTCCTCCACAAAGAGGGGGAGCGACAAAAAAGAGTTCTTTCAATGACACACAAGACCCTATATGATTTTGGCCCAGTCATATCAATGAGACTCATATCATACTATACTTTCTCCCTCATCCACTCCACTGAAGTTGATTTGAAACTCCTGGCTGTCTCTCAAAAAAGCCAGGCACACTCAAGACTTGGGGCACTTGCACTGACTGTTCCTTCTTGCACAGATATCCCTAGAGTTCCTGCCATCATCCTCTTTGCTTCTTTGCACAAATGCTACCTCTTCAATGAAAGCAATACAGACTATTACTTCAAACTATAATCTTCCCCCAGAACTCCCAATCCTCCTTACTCTGTTTTTTTCCAAAACTCTACTATTTCATAACATAAAATGTATTGTGTTGATATCTCCATTTATTACCTCTTAATCTCTCCTGGAATATAAACTCCACAAGGCCATGGACCCTGGATTTTGTTCTTTGATATGGCCTGAGATCTTTGAGTAGTGCCTGACACACTGTGGGTATTCAAAAGCATGTGGTGATTGCATGAATCTACATACCCTTCCTCAAACCTCAGAAATGGCATGAGTTATTCCTCTTTCTGTATTATTTTAGATCTTTGTATGCATCACAATTTTAGTCCTTTATATTCTGAATTATTACTGTTCATGTATTTGTCATTCACATTACTAAGCTATGATTGTATTGAACAGTTCAATATGTTTACTTGCAGAAAATAATATAGTGTCTATCGCATAGCAAAAAGTCAAACAAAACCAATATAATGAGTAGACAAAGGTGCTGTATACATATAGTTCTCTGACATCAAATCACTACCTCTGCAAGTCAATTATTGTTTAAAAAGTCCTCCTCAACCCAGCCCCCACCTCAAATATATGTATCCATGCACTTTACTAATTGAGATAATTTAAAACTATTTTTCACATATTTGCTTAATTAGCTTGCAGTGACCTCTGCAAAAACACTGGCCTCTGATGATTATAAGAGGTAGTTTTCTGGCATAGACACCAAAGCATCAAAGAGTCAGCTGGAACTAAGGAAAGCAATAATACAACTGGTTTTAATTACTCATGACAGGCAGCTGAATATATCTGACATAGGCCTTCTCCCCAATACATCACTCAAAACAGACCAGTTACAGGAAACTGTGCAGAGAAAAAAAAAAAAAAAAACAAGATGGGGCCAAAAGGTGTCTGTAACACAAAGCAGATCATCTTTCACATGGATGATCTTATTCATTTTTTTCATATTTGTAAGATGGCCCCAAATCTATTAAACGGCTGGCCCCCAAGGACTTTGCATGCTTCTATGTTGGTGCTTAGGAGTGGTGGCTCAGGTTCTTGAAAGAGGACGTAGGTGAAGACTGCCCCCATTCATAAATCATTGTGTAAACCAAGAGGTTCTCCAAAGTTCATCTAGAACTGCAGGCATGTTTGCAATTAAGTCACCTATGAAGTACAGATGAGCACCTTCTACTTCTATTCAACACTCACTGAAGGGTTAACTTCATCTATAACCCAATCAGACCTGCTTTTAGCAGGAAATAGGGGAGGATTAGGAGTTGTTTGGTTATAAGCTACTCACAATTTTAACATATCTCTCTGATCAGGTACACAGAATGACCTAACGAAAGTATGACTTTGGGTGACCTTATCCTTGGATAGGCTCCTCTTTAGAGAGAAAGGAAGAGAGTCCTAACTAGGCAGGGTTTTATTTCAGGAACTAATCTTGCTACAAACTCGGATATCTGCTTGACACCTAAATCATTGCCTTCTTGTTTCTGCGCATTTCATGATTTTTTCCACTTGATGTTGTTTGATCATTGAACCTGCACTTCTCAGAGCTCACAGAACTTCAAAAGCCCTAAGTTTTTCCTGTTGCTTCACACAGCTTCCTGTCTGATGCCTCCAGAAATCCAGACTGTCCCCTGCATCTTTCTGTTTTTAACATCACCTTGCATTCTTTCCACTGAAGTTTTGAGCTCCTGTAGTGTACTAAGGTATATGATGGAAACTGAGATGCTAACCGTGAATACTCCCTCAGGGAGCTCAGAATATAACAGAAGCGTGTAGAATGGCATGTAGGCAGCCATGAGACATGTATGATGAAATGGGGCACTTAGTCCAGAGCCTGGGGAGTGAGGAAAGCTTTTCTAGAGTCAGCAGCATCTAAGCATTCTTAGCCAGACAAAAAAGAATGAAAGGCATGTTATGCTAAGGAAGGACCATCTATAAATGTCCCGGGCCATAAGTCACGATTTCAGGGAGCTACAGATAGTGCACAATAGCGGCAGGGGTAAGTAAAGCAGGCCGGGGAGCAAAGCAAGGGTAGCCCTGAAAGGTGCTCCATGTCATTCGAAAGAGATGGAAGTCACCTTATGGCATTGGGGAGTCATTGAAAATTCATACACGATATGATTGATATGTTTCAGAAAGACTGGCATCAATGTGGAGAAGGGATTTCTCCGTGAAGCTGTTTGCCTGGACCCAGACCATATTCTTGCCTACCCTGCCTTATCTTTCTGTGTCTTGAAGAGCCCAGCTCCATACCCTTTTCCTTATCATTGTCATCAAACAAAACTAATGATAAAAGTCAGTTTGAGATGTTATTGAACATATACAAATTATCTGATCCCATGTCATAGAACCAAACTCACACTGTGAAAGAGCCTGGTAATCTCCATTCATAAATCCACCCAAATGATTCTGAGGCAGCTAAACCACGGACTACAGTTGGGAAATTAATTTAGACCATCACTTATACCACTAGCTTCCAGATGCATTGATAAACAGAAACAGCATGTTCTTCTGATTGAATTAGATTGAAGACGGCTGGAGCAGGTTGCACTCCAAATTTGTTCCCTCCATAGCATCTATGGATCTACTCTCAGGGCCAGAAAAATCAGTCCCTGGCTTGCACCCTTCAAGAACTTCCACTTCTTCAAATAACATGGCCAACTCTTAATATGGTCTATTAGGCTGTGTGATCCATCGCCAATTCTTCTCAAGCTACTCTGTTCTTTACATCTGTTATTATCAACATCAAAGGGAGAACATTAATAGAATTCCCTTTCCAATTTTTACTTTCTCAGTTAAATTAAGAATGAATATGGAGTTGGGAAATTTTGTAGCATAATAAAGATTCGGAAAGTTCCTAAGGAGAATGGCAAATGACTTGACTTAGAGAAAAGTGACCAAGATCAACGTCAGTCACCCAGTGGAGTTGAAGATTAAAAATGTTAAGAAAATTCCTCAAGAGGGGCCTGAAAAGAGGATTCTTCTAATTTTCTCCAAGACTTATAAAAAAACTAAACTATGAGTAGCCTTCTTTTGCTGCACTGAGTCTGTTTAGAATGGTAAGCCATTTGGTTTAGTTCAGGTCACAGCAAGCTCTGATTCACACTCTCTTACCTACCCTAGAGCATGGTGAGTACCATACAATAGCAGAGTGCTGAAACAGAGGTGCTGGCAGAATCTTCCATTGAAAAGACAATGAGGTGGTAGTGTTTTTAAATAATTGCTTTCCTCTCAAGTTAGAGTTTTGACTTGAAAATGTGATTTTTATGATGATAGCATACCCATGCACTAACCCTTTTTACTTAAATTGATAATTTGCATTTCATGGAAAATTCAATATATTTCAAAACAAATATGGACCTCAATATATAGATATTGAAGTCATTTAGGGACAACAGCAATAATATTTAAACATTCTTCTTTTTTTAATTTTTTTAACTTTTATTTAATAAATATAAATTTCCAAAGTACAGCTTATGGATTACAATGGCTTTTCCCCCCCATAACTTCCCTCCCTCCCTCCTGCAACCTTCCCATCTCCCACTCCCTCTCCCATTCCATTTGCATCAAGATTCATTTTCTTTTTTTTTCTTTTTTTTTTTTTTCTTTGACAGGCAGAGTGGACAGTGAGAGAGAGAGAGACAGAGAGAAAGGTCTTCCTTTGCCATTGGTTCACCCTCCAATGGCCGCCGCAGCTGGTGTGCTGCAGCCGGCGCACCACACTGATCCGATGGCAGGAGCCAGGTACTTATCCTGGTCTCCCATGGGGTGCAGGGTCCAAGTACTTGGGCCATCCTCCACTGCACTCCCTGGCCACAACAGAGAGTTGGCCTGGAAGAGGGGCAACCAGGACAGAATTCGGTGCCCTGAGCGGACTAGAACCTGGTGTGCTGGCGCCGCAAGGCGGATGATTAGCCTAGTGAGCCGTGGCACCGGCCAAGATTCATTTTCAATTATCTTTATATACAGAAGATCAATTTAGCATACATTAAGTAAATATTTTAACAGTTTGCACCCACACAGAACATAAAGTGTAAAATACTGTTTGAGTACTAGTTACAGCATTAATTCACATTGAACAACACATTAAGGACAGAGATCCTACATGAGGAGCAAGTGCACAGTGACTCCTGTTGTTGACTTAACAAATTGACACTCTTCTTTATGGCATCAGTAATCTCCCTAGGCTCTTGTCATGAGTTGCCAAGGCTATGGAGGCCTTTTGAGTTCACCAATTTCAATCTTATTTAGACAGGTCATAGTCAAAGTGGAAATTCTCTCCTCCCTTCAGAGAAAGGTACCTCCTTCTTTGATGGCCCGTTCTTTCCACTGGGATCTCACTTGCAGAGATCTTTCATTTATTTTTTTCTTGTTTTGTTTTGTTTTTGTTTGTTTGCTTTGCCAGAGTGTCTTGGCTTTCCATGCCTAAAATACTCTCATGGGCTCTTCAGCCAGACCCAAATGCCTTAAGGGCTGATTCGGAGGCCAGAATGCTGTTTAAGACATCTGCCATTCTGAGTTTGCTGTGAATGCAAACTGGTAAAGCCACTATGGAAGTCAGTCTGGAGATTCCTCAGAAACTTGAATATAACCCTACCATACAACCCAGCCATCCCACTCCTTGGAATTTACCCAAAGGAAATTAAATTGGCAAACACAAAAGCTGTCTGTACCTTAATGTTTATTGCAGCTCAATTCACAATAGCTAAGTCCTGGGATCAACCTAAATGCCCATCAACAGTAGACTGGATAAAGAAATTATGGGGCATGTACTCTATGGAATACTATACAGCAGTAAAAAAAAAAACAATGAAATCCGATCATTTGCAACAAAATGGAGTAATCTGGAAAACATCATGCTGAGTGAAATAAGCCAGTCCCAAAGGGACAAATATCATATGTTCTCCCTGATCGGTGACAACTGAGCACCTAAAAGGAAACCTGTTGAAGTGAAATGGACACTATGAGAAACAGTGACTTGATCAGCCCTTGTCCTGACTGTTGATGTACAACTTAATACTTTATCCCTTTTAGTATTTCTTTTGTTCTACTTAATACTATTGGTTGAACTCTGTAATTAACACACAATTATTCTTAGGTGCTGAAATTTAACTGAAAAGTGGTCTCTCTTATATATAAGAGTGGGAATAAGAGAGGGAGTAGATGTACAGTTTGGGACATGCTCAATCTGACTTGCCTCAAATGGTAGACTTAGAAATGTGCCAGGGGATTTCAATTCAATCCCATCAAGGTGGCATGTACCAATGCCATCTCTCTAGTCCCGGTGATCAATTTCTGTTCACAATTGATCATAATGATAGTTCTAGGAGTCAAAGGGATCACATAAACATTCTTCTAAAATAAATTGAGTTGCATTTTGAAAGTTCTTAGATTATTTTTAATTAAACAAAAGCCTTGTGTTAATCCAGCTCCTTTGTCGGGTTTATCACTTCCTCTGCTGCTTCTCTTTCCAACGCACATTCATTTCAATCAAGCAACTAGGAGCAGCTGCAATGAAGCACACAGTGTTGGAAGCTAATAACTAAAATTAGATTATCAATGACATTAGCTTATATGTTCAAGGCTGAAATTCCGGTACTCCACTCTTTCTCCTGAAAGGAGACACTTCCTCATCACCGCAAGGCAGACTCCTATTATCAAACTGAATCCATATCACATCATTAGGCAGTAAAACAGACCCAAAGTAGAAAGTGAAACTATATACTTTTTCTGCCAAGAGAAAGACTAAGACAAAATGAGTAAAGAACTTGCTTTCATACGATTATTTTGACTAGTGCCTTCTTAATTAGGGGAAGAAGTTTGTTCAAGAGAAATGGTACCAAAGAAGAAGGAAATGTGATGAGGGCAAGGAATGGAGTCTAGATTTTCTCCCAGCCATCGGCGATGCCGCTGTAACACCCATCAGCCAGGACCAAGACAGCTTAGAATTTCTAGACATTGATTCCCACCCTCTCTGCCCCATACAATCTAGATACATCCAGGTAATTTCTTTAAAGTACTTTTCCTGTTTCACTCCCTCTTTCAGAAAATCCACAAAGTATATACATGTCTCAATAGAGTCCGTGCACATCTAAGTGTGTGCATTTCAGAATGTGGACATGATATCGTTAGTGAAAATTTGTACCTATGACGTCATCAGTCATTTCCAGACTTGCACTGTATCCCTTCTCTCCTTTGCCGTCAGCATGACAAGGGGCACCTCCGAGGAAAAATACCCCTGTCCCGAAGCGCGGCTGTCCCACCCGGTCCTCACCACGGCCGCCGGTCAGGATCGTCCGTGGCTGTGCAGTGCGAACATCCACACCGGGATGCACTGCTCTGGAAAGCCCTCCTGCTTCTCCTGGCCCAGCACCACCAGCCCACTCTTGCGAATGAGGCTCCGGAGGATGTCCATGTCCCGAGTGACACTGCTGTCCGAGAGATCGAAGACGCAGCCCTCCCGCGCCACATTGTCTTTCAGCACGATGACGCCGTTTTCTTTCAAGCCATCTCGGCACCGGGAAAGAAACGCAAGAAGGTCCTTATCAGTTAGGTACCCTACAAACGGGGCCAAGTAGACGGGGGAACAGGATGAGACAGAGGGGAAAGGAGTGGGGAAGGACACAGAGGGAAGGATCCAGGGGTCAGGTGTTCACCCATTCGCAAATTAAGTAATGGTCTTGTTTTAGTTGCTTTGAGAATTTAGATAAGAGAACGTGAATGTTCTTTGAGGAGGCTCAGTGCCCTGTCTGTGAAATAGATACACTGCCAGCATTATCTACCCACAAGCACGAGATAAATGATTGTCGGCCCAGGAGTCCCTTCATGTCCCCTGGATAACCCAACTGCATTATAATACTCCTTTATGTCTCACACACACACACACACTACAAAACCTACTTCCCTGCCATTTCGTTTCCTGGAGATTTAAATATAAGAACATCTAGCTCTGTCAATAAATGAGGATGAAACTCTTTTAGCCCCACCTTTTAAATTCTTACCAAGTATTTACATAATTTCAAGGATTTAGGTTGGTCCAAAGGTATTCACTCTTTCACTAGGGTGAGAATTAGGTTTGTACAGAGGCTGTTAGGGGGAAAATGTGAGGAACTGGACCAGGGCAGTGACACCAGAGGCCAGCTAATTGTTCTAAGCCCATCTCCACCTAAATCTCCCCCAGTGTCCTTGGCAGACCCCACAGCTGTCTTCTCTAGCTAAGAAGAGGAGAGGGTAGAGGGATGCCAAGCAGGACTAACCGGAAACCCACTGAATCCAAATGACATCGTATCTCCCGAAGGGGGGTGTGAATTCCTGCAGGCTGTAGCAGTGGTAGCTTTCCACCTTGTCACCTTCGACCTGCAGGTAGTTCTGGGCTTCGAGGAGGAAGGACTCCATCATGTCCACCAGTTCCACACTGTTGAAAACAGGCAGCAGCACGTTCTTGCTGACTCGTCCTATACCAGAGCCACAGTCCAAGGCGCAGTCTGTTCCAGCTTTCCCAGGCCCCTGGAGAAAGGTACCTTGTGGAGCACTTCAAGCACGGAAGCCCTCCCTGAGTCTTGGACCCTCCAATTACTTCTGTAAGCCGACTTTATTTACATCGGTTTTCAATAATGAAATGCACCATTTGAAATGTACAGTTAAATGTTTGGACAAATGTCTACAGACATGTACCCACTTCCACATTCAATCACCTTTTTAAAAAACATAAAAAAAATCTCATTCCACCTACCTTATTTTATGCAAATATAGGTCTTTGAAAGAACTGTAAACTAATAACTTTAAAAATAGTATCTTAGATTCAAGCACTTGGAAAATTTCTCCAAGAAATGGGCCATTGGTAACCCTATGAAAGTAAAACTGGTGATCGTAAGTTTGGGTTGAATACACAGTTAAATGAATCTGTACTGTATGTTAAAACATAGCTAAAAATGTATAACCAGTCACACTTTTTTGAGTTTTAAAAATCCATTCAAATTTGAGTTTTAAAAATCCATATTTGGAAAATTGAAATTATATTTTTTCAAAACAGAACTTGGGCACTCTCAATTATCTCCTGCTCTTGTCTGGTTGGTAAATTTGGGGACCTGAGCTGAGGAATGCTAATTGCTCTGTTCTCTGGGCCAGCCCTCTATTTCATATCCTTACCTGATGGCACACAACATGTTCACATGGATAAATGGTGATTTCAGCAATCTCCTTTAATGCTAAAAATTGTTTTCTGCTTTTTGTACCAGAAACGACATGATTTGCTGGGCTCAAAACCCTGAAAATTGTCATTTTAAGTAGGTCTGTGCACTGAATTAACTAGGGCTGAGGGAATAGGGAGGTGGTTGGTAGAGAGAGAAATCAGCCAATGCAAACTTTCTCAAATTTGCTTCTATAAAATTAAAAACGTTTTCTGATTTACAAAGATGCAGCTGGTCTAAATTATTTGGCCATAATTGTAATGGCTGCTGAATAGGTTTCGTGCTAGAAATTACAGTAACAAGATACTTGAAGTTGCCAATCAAGATCTTATGGAGAAAGCTTACTCTTGATTTCTCAGGAACTAAGCATAAAAAAAAAGAAAAAGAAAACATTTGGCTGCGGATCAAAGGTGAGCACAAGCAAGGGAAACATCAAAAAAGCTGCTTTCCATTCCACCCAAAGGCCTTCCTCATGCTAGAAAGATACATGAAGAACAAAAAGAGAGGCAACTCTGGCTTCTTTTCAAGTAGGACAATAGCCATGAGCAGTGAATGCTTACATGGAGTAAGTGCTTTTCGTCTTAAATAATTATTATAATAATAAAACTCCACAGGATAATGATTATTAGCCCCATTTTGGAGATGCAAAAACTCAGATTTCTAATCATACATAGCAAGCTGCAGAGCTAGAATTCGAAAGAGAATTGTCTGAATTCAAAGCCAAAGCCAGTTCTACCTTAGAGATGTCATTGCAAGTGCAAGTCTGATTTCCTTAGTAGTGTCTGTCTCATACTATGTTAAAAGGAATTCTACAGCTTCATTCATTCAGCAAGAAAGAGATCTGTGATTGATTAGTGATGCCTGCCTCAATGATGAGGAGGGTAAGTAGTAGTTCACTAGCATATGTTTGCCATTATAACTTACACTATGCCAGTTCTTCATTCAACTCATTTAATCTAAATTAACTCAGATAAAGGCCTACACTAAAGGTTTATTTTGTGAGTGCTATACCAAAAAAAAAAGAGAGAGAGAGAGAGAGAAAGAAAAGAAGGCACCATCTTCGAAGTATATTTAAATGTAAGGAAATTCATTTAAGCTACTAGAAATGACTTTATTAAAAGAAATTTTGTATATAAAAACAGATTCTTAATTACCAAGTTTTTTAAAGAAAGTTTTTATTTAAGGAATACAAATTTCATAGATATAGCTTTAGGAATATAGTGCTTCTTCTCCCTGATACATGCCCTCCCACCCCAATTCCCATCCTACCTCCTACTCCCTCTCCCATCCCATTCTTCATTAAGATTCATTTTAGTTAACTTTATATACAGAAGACCAACTCTATACTAAGTAAATATTTCCACAATTTACACACACACACATGCACACACACAAAAAGTATAAAGTGCTATTTGAGAGCAAGTTTTACACTTAATTATCATAGTACAACTCATTAAGGACAGAGGTCCTACATGGGGAGTTAGTGCACAGTGACTCCTGTTGTTGATTTAACAATTGACACTCTTATTTTTTATGTCAGTGATCACCGGAGGCTCTTGTCATGAGCTGCCGAGGCTATGGAAGCCTCTTGAATTCACATACTCCATCAGTGTTTAGACAGGGCCATAAGCAAAGTGGAAGTTCTCTCCTCCTTTCAGAGAAAAGTACATCCTTCTTTGATGGCCTCTTCTTTCCACTGGGGTCTCATAGAGATCCTTCATGTAGAAGATTTTTGACACAGTTTCTTGGCTTTCCATGCCTGAAATGCTCTCATGGGCTTTTCAGCCAGATCCAAATGCCTTAAGGGCTGATTCTGAGGTCAGAGTGCTGTTTAGGGCGTTTGTCATTCTATGAATCTGCTGTGTGGACTGCTTCCCATGTTGGAATTTTCTCTCTTTTTTTAATTCTATCTATTGCTATTACCAGACACTTGGGCTTATTTATGTGGTCTTTGACACTTAATCCTATCTATATGATCAATCACACACTTAATATGATCACTTTAACACGTAAGATGGCATTGGTACCACCCACCTTAATGGGATTTGGAATCCCACAGCAAATTTTTAGCTTTACCCTTAGGGTAAGTTCCTGGGAATGTGTACTGTACAGCTTATTATTCAGCTTATTATTATATAGCTCTCTTACTCCCACTCTTATTATTTACTGGGATCTATTTTCAATTGACTTAATACACCTATGATAAATTTTATGTTAAGTAAAAGTTCAAACAATGGTATGAAGTAGAAAATAATAATAAAAAAATAATAAACTGTTCCTCAACAGTCAAGACAAGGGATGTTCAAGTTATTGCTTCTTATAGCATCAATTACATTTCTACATATTTCCTTTTATGTGCTTTGTTAGTTATCACAGATCAGGGAGAACCTATGGGATTTGTCCCTTTGGGAGTGGATTATTTCATTAAGCATGATGTTTTCTAGATTCATCCATTTTGTTGCAAATGACCAGATTTTGTTTTTTTTTTAACCACTGTGTAGTATTCTATAGAGTACATATCCCATAATTTCTTTATCCAGTCCTCTGTTGATAGGCATTTAGGTTGATTTCATGTCTTAGCTATTGTGAATTTAGCTGCAATAAATATGGACGTGCAGATAATTCTTTCATTTGCTGATTTCAGGAGTGGGATGGCTGGGTTGTATGGTAGGACTATCTTCAGATTTCTGAAGTATCTCCAAACTGTCTTCCATTGTGGTTTTACCAGTTTGCATTCTTACCAACAGTGGATTAGGGTACCTTTTCCCCTACATCCTCTCCAGCATTTGTTGTTTGTTGATTTCTGTATGAAAGCCATTCTGAATGGGTGAGGTGAAACCTCATTGTGGTTTTGATTTGCATTTCCCTGACGGGCTAGTGATCCTGAGCATTTTTTCATGTGTCTGTTGGTCATTTGGATTTCCTCTTTTGAGAAAGGTCTGTTTAAGTCCTTGTCCCATTTCTTAGTGGGTTGTTTGTTTTGTTGTTGTGGAGTTTCTTGATCACTTTATATATTCTGGTTGTTAATCCTTTATCAGAATTACTTATAATTTCAGAATTACATGGTTTGTAAATAATTTCTCCCAATCTGTTGGTTGCCTTTTACTTTCCTGTTTCTTTTGCTGTACAGAAGCTTTGCAATTTGATGCAGTCCCATTTGTTAAGTTTGGCCTTTATTGCCTGTGCTTCTGGGGTCTTTTCCAGGAATTCTTTGACTGTGCCAATGTATTGCAGGGTCTCCCCAATGCTCTCTAGTAATTTGATAGCATCAGGTCATAGATTTAGGTCTTTGATCCATTTTGAGTGGATTTTTGTGTAAGGTGCAAGGTAGGAGTCCTGCTTCATGCTTCTGCATGTGGAAATCCAGTTTTCCCAGAACCATTTGTTGAACAGAGTATTCTTGCTCCAGGGAATGGTTTTAGATCCTTGGTCAAATGTAAGTTGGTTGTAGATGTTTGGATTGATTTTTGTCATTTCCATTCTATTTCATTGGTCTATCCATCTGTTTGTGTGCCAGTACCAAGCTTTTTGATTATAACTGCCTTTTAATATGTCTTGAAATCTGGTGTTGTGATGCCTCTGGCTTTGTTTTTGCTGTATAAGATTGCTTTAGCTATTCAAGGTCTACTGTGTTTCCAAATGAATTTCAGCATCATTTTTTTCTTGATCTGAGAAGAATGTCTTTGGTATTTTGATTGGTATTGCATTGAATCTGTAAATTATTTTCAGAAGAATGGAAATTTTGATGATATTGATTCTTCCAATCCCTGAACATGGAATTTTTTTCATTATTTTGTGTCTTCTTCTATTTCTTTCTTTAAAGTTTTGTAATTCTCGTCATAAAGATCTTTGACATCCTTGGTTAAATTTATTACAAGATATTTGATTTATTTTAGGTACTGTGAATGATATTGATATTAGAAGTTCTTTATCCAGTCTACTGTTGATGGGCATTTGGGTTGGTTCCAGGTTTTAGCTATTGTGAATTGAGCTGCAATAAACATTAAGGTGCAGACAGCTTTTGTGTTTGCCAATTTAATTTCCTTTGGGTAAATTCCAAGGGGTGGGATGGCTGGGTTGAATGGTAGGGTTATATTCAGGTTTCTGAGGAATCTCCAGACTGACTTCCATAGTGGCTTAACCAGTTTGCATTCCCACCAACAGTGGGTTAGTGTCCCTTTTTCCCCACATCCTCTGCAGCATCTATTGTTGGTAGATTTCTGAATGTGAGCCATTCTGACCGGGGTGAGGTGAAACCTCATTGTGGTTTTGATTTGCATTTCCCTGATTGCTAGTGATCTTGAACATTTTTTCATG